TATAATTCATGCAGTTTCTTGGTGCAAATACAAGTCACGTATCCAGCTTTTCAAAATTTCTGTCTTCTTGGATATGGAATAATCATATCTGACTTCAAAAAAGAGGGCTGGATAACCAACAGATAATAAAACCTACCGCCTTTTAATATTCATTAGTGTTTCACACAAGAACTGATATAAGATACTGTGCCAGAAGAATGGGCAGCACCAAAAGATTCGAAGTGCTTTACTTCCCACTTCCCACAGCATCTCCACACAGTCACTGATCGAAAATCCAGAAGAGTTTAAACTATGTGTTGTTTTACAATCCATTCTGTAGCTACTGATTACTTCAGCCACTGCTCAGTGCTAAGTGCTGAAGCAAGTACAGAGCTGCTGGGAAAACCAAAATCCCAGGAGCTAGCAGCCTATGTCAGTAGTCCAGAGGAAGAAAGTAAAATGTCTCAGCCCTAAGGACTTTTGAAGCTAGAGACTTAACAGACTGCAAGCTATTAGAAATGCCTTGAAACAAACCTTGTCTGGGATAGAAATGCAAGTGAATTTGGGAACTTGGAAAAGTATTGCCTTTGAGTGAGGAGTGTCTAGAAGATTACCTGCAAGTTTCTTCTTTGAACTGGAAAATCAGGAAAGTGAAGTCACACAGGGAAGTAATTTCTGTTCCTTTTGACAGGAATTTTGTTGTCTCTCAAAAAGTATTATAAAACAGCGTAAGAAAAATTTAGAGGCTGGAATGGGTCCAGAGGAGGCCGCAAAGATACTCAGAGAGCTGGAGCACCTTTCCAATGAAGTAAGGTTGAAGGAGCTGGACTTATTTAGCTAGGAGAATAGAAGGCTCTGGGGAGACCTCATTGTGGCCTTCCAGTACTTAAAAGGAGCTTGTAAGCAGCCTAGACACGGTCTTATAGTGATAGAACTACAGGGAATGGTTTTAAACTAAAAGAGGGTAGATGTAGATTAGCTGTGAGGAGGAGATTCTTTACTCAGAAGGCAGTGAGGCATTGAACAAACTGCCCAGCGAAGCTGTGGGTGCTCCATCCCTGGAGGAAATAAAGGCCAGGTTGGATGGGACCCTGGGCAGCCTGATCTTGTGAGTGGCAGCCCTGCCCATAGCAGGAGGTAGGAACTGGATGGTCTTTAGGGTCCCTTCCAACCCAAGACCTGCTGTGATTCTATGATGAGAACAAGAAAATCAGAACATTCCAGTTTCCTCCAGTTATATTATCACCATACCTTAAAACAAGATGTTTCTCTTTCTGATGGACATACGAAACATGACCAAGACAGAGTTGTATCACAGTCAGTCATATTTTGGGGTCCTGATGGGCAGTGGAGAAAAGAGACTACCAGAAAACGTAGATATTTACCCTGGTACTCAGTTATACTGTAAACCATGTCAATGTTGGTTTTTTTTGCAGTACAGAAGTACAGAAGTACAGTTAATAACTGGTTAACTACAGCTGCAGGGGTAGTGAGGATGATATGTGAAGCTAAACTCCACTTTCTATTTAAAGAAGCTACTGAAGAATACTCCAAAATTTGACTTACATTTATTTAAGGTTAGGTCTGAGCCTTGAAGGTCAGATTTGACTAAAAATTCTTTCTTAAGTATTCTGGTTGTGAAAACACAGAATTTGGGTTTGACTCATTAAAGCTACAGAAACAGACATGGAGGTCTACCTAATTGTAATAAAAACTAGTAAAGCTAGGAAAGCTTTTCCAAGAGTATTATTCATAGAGTTCTTCCATATTCTGTATCACCCAAAACACTGACTATCATTCCTCTTTGTCCCCTTCAAAAAAGTCCTGAGAATGCCCTGCTCTTGAAACTAGCCTTAAACATCTCCAATGTATTAACTGGATCCTGCTGGCACGCTCTGTGTTAAATTCAGACATCTACCAGCCACACTGTCTCCACCAACCTTTTGGCTCAAGCAGCAGCATCCATGTTAAAAATAATAACTTCTCCTCATTTTCAGCTTGATGGCCAATCCATCTTCTGCCACAGTGTCTATTTACTGCTCAGCGAAACAGCCTTTCGAACAAGAATGCTGCCATCCTCCCCTTTGCCTATTTTGTGTTTTTCTTTACTATATACTGTAATCCACTGCATTTCTTGCATCTTTTCTGATACACTAGGCATTATCTTCTTCAGGTTCATCTAAAAAAGGAAACTGCATGCTCTTTTCTCACTCGTGACTTTCAACGCTGCATCCCCTTCTGCCTTGAGCCTCTGCTCTATATATTTTGGATTCCCATTTGAATTACAGTGTCACATCAGCCTCATCAGCCTCATTTGGTAATGAATCTGTTTCACTGGCAAACCTCAGTCCCCTTGTGAAAGGTTCATTTGAAGTCTGCCTCTCTTGTGCCAGATTCTAACCAGAATCTAAGCGCCTTATCAGGGACTTTGTTACCTGTTCCAGAATTGCAAGAGTGGTTGCACGGCTTCCAGTCAACCAAAAAGTCTTAATCAGTTTTTCTCCCTGTCTTTAGGTAAAAAAAATTATCTCACGTTTAATTTTTGCATGGGAGGTAATACATTCCACATATGTGCAGTGTTTTCCATTGTTATCATGCAGGGTTTGAAACACGCAAAACACATAACCTCCATCAGTACCAATGGCTTTTTACTCTTTTGGTCATAAGCAAAGTTTTGTCTCTCAATTTCTTCCAGCTGAATATCATACTTCCAGAACACTCCATTCTTCTCGTCAGATTATTTTCTTTCATTTCTTAATAGCCCTTCTACCATGTGGTATCAAGTAATCTCTGGCTCCAAGAGAAAGAGCCCCTTTTTATTCACTTAAACAGTTCCAATTGCTTCTGCTTCACACGACCAGCATTTCTGCAGCACACCTTCCCTAGATTTTGGACAGGAGAATTTTAACTACACAAAGATACAAATACTAATCCCACAACACATAATTTGTTCAAATATTGTTTCTCTTTCTTTCCATTCCTACATTCCCTCCTTCCATTCCTTGTAAGCAATATGTTTCACTTCTAGGCCCAAACGCAACTCTCTCACCATGTAGAACGACTGTTTTCATACATACACATGGGAAAAAAAAAAAAACACCAAGCCCTTGCTCAGAGGGTTTAATAATTCCAACCTCTTGATCACTATTAACCACTCAAACTATCAGCATTCTGCCCCAGAGGAGCTTTGAGAAATCGGTTCAGTGCTTGAGGCCACACACATTTTGGTGCTTTTCTGTTAATATTTTAGATATTCAAACAGGAGTTCTGACTATTAATGCAAACGTAAAATACATTAGTGAATTGCATCAGAAAATTCAAACCTCGGCTGCCACGGGATGAATACACTTACTATGAATATTAATGCATCCCTTGGAATTAAACATTAATACTTAACATACACACTCTCAAAGTTTAAAACCATATAAACATCTCAGGGAGAGGGAAGAAGGGGAGAGTAAGGAAGGACCAGACAAAGGAAACAGGCCCTAGAGTCTGGAAATGTTTTGTGAATTAAAGAGCATTTCTGAGATAAGCTAGAAATGTTTCAGGTATTAGAGGACAACTTGACACTACGAATAATTTCCTGTAATGGAACATAAGGTGCAAGCTTTTGTCTTAGCTGTTCTATTTTGCCCATTACACAGCAGGAGATCCATTACTGTCTAACAGCATAAATTTACTGAGCTGGTCTACAGGATAGGCAGTTCCAAGTTCCATGGATATAGGCCATTCCTCTGTACCTGAACGCTCAATTCCCGTGACCCTCCACACTGCCTTCCATGTAGCAGTATCAGCACTTACAGAAGTGTGCAGTGTGAGTCCTCTCCTCTAGCTTCAGCCAACACCCAGTTCAGAACCCTGTCTAAACTGCTCATTTAGACCCTCTATGGAGTGAGAAAGGTGTTGCCATGGTGTGTTCCCACCAGCATCCTAGACACCTATCTTAAGGCAGGGTAAACGATCCAGCTTGCTTCACTGACAGGGCAGGGAGCTGGCAACAATTTAAGCCAGGTGCCTGATTTTCAGACAGCCAAAATTAAAGGATATTCATCTCTCCTCCTCTTGGCTGGGCTGAGGACTGTATGAGTGCTCAGAATTTGACTTGTGAGGTTGGACAGTATGTATAATCAAAGGCTCAATGAAGGATAACAGAGTAGATACTCTCAATAAAAAATGTGGCTGCAGAAATGCATAAACAGTAGCCTGATGTGTACTTGTTTACACTCCCCTCTGAGATTCAGACATATGCCAGCTCTGCAACCACAGACCCTGGCAAGAGCTCTTGGCAATGCAGCAACTGCTGGGAAATCTACAGGAACAAAATGGTGCACCAGGATATCACAACAAGTAAGAAGGCCACCTGAATACTGCTGTTCATGGGGATGTTGTGGAAGTTACTCAAAAATGAAGCCCAAACTGGTACCAGCCCTCTCTCTAATGGGAATGCACCCTCTTTGGCAGCAAGTTGAAAATGAAATGTAATTGAACATCTATGTGCTCCCGTGTCATCAAATTTCTCTCTCTGAATCCAAGTCATACTCTCTGCATCACGATGCAGTTTCTGCAGCTCTTAAAATCCCCACAGAAGCTCATCTTGGTCTTTTCAATAGCTTGTTCAGAAGCAGCCGTAGGAGAAAATGCTAGCCCTCAACACTGACCCTGTGCTCTGCTGTTCAGCAGGAGACATTATTTTTCTGGACAGCAGCCCAGAGATCCTGGACAAAGCAGTAGCAGATGTTATGATGCATGCTCCTCTGCCTCTGGTTTGGCTAATGAGGGAGCGGAAACCACAGAGCATGAGAGCACGAAAGCCAAACTAGAGACTGTGGCCTCTGCTTTCATCTTTTTCATTATGTTTAAGACCGGGCTTTGTTGCAGACTGTCTAAGACACGTGAAAAGATCTTTAAAAACACAGATCGATGCCTCCCATTGTTCAGGCAGAGGGAAAAAGACAGACATGCTCATGCTGCAAAGAACATCTAGCCATTGCATAAAGCATGCGCTCAAATTGACTTACCACAATCATTTGTGCCACATAGCTCTCTGGACCAGTGTATTCTGTTGGATCTTTCACTTTGACAAGAACTATAAAGTACAAATAATGCCACATGTTGTGTTCTGACTTTATATGCTCCTCAAATGAAACTGTCTTGTTATCAAATTTGTCTCTCTCCAGTCCTGCAAAAGACAAGAACATAATACAAAATAAATAAATAAATATAAAAATACTGGTTAAATATGTTAGAGAAAGGAACACAAATTAATTTAAAGGAATCATAAATTTGAAGGATCTTAATTTAAAAGCTATAACCACATACAGTAACTGCCAGGCACGAAATACCAGGCCAGAAGGCATTCCTGACAGAATTCTTTCAGCACAACGCTTATTCTCTTTTGTGATATTTCCCCTTACTAACAATAACAGTATAATAAATAAGTTGCAGTTTTACAGTGCCTTCTGTGCTGAAGGCTATAAAGTGCCTTACAAGTGTTGACTCTGATCCTTTCTAAATGTATACTGGTTAGCACACAGCATGCAGTCTCAGTCCTGATCTTGCAAAGATTTATGCACGTGCTTAGCACCAAGCATGTGAGTAGTCCCACTTAAGCTGCGGTGGGATTGCTGAGCACTTAAACCTAGCAGTGAAGGTGAGTCTGCAGCTCTGCAGAAATACAGTCTCTACAGAGATGCAGTTGTAAGAATTTCATTCTATTCTTTGTTGTATCTGCTCAAATCTCCGAAGAAGAATGACAAAGTGAGAAAGGAGAGGATTCACCAACGTTTTTCTCCACGTTACAGCTTTCCTCCTTGGATCTCTTGTAGGGGCTCCCACTGACACTAAAACTGCACAGTGTTCATCCCTGTCAGTACAATCATGGAAACAACACCCAGGCTATCAAAAAGAAGGTAATTCTAACATCCCCTGGGGGGGTGAAGGTCTGCCCTCCTTGTGGCTGCACTTGAAAATAAGTGCATGGTCTTTGTGAGGATGATTTTCATTTAATTTTTTGGTTCCCTGTTTTAAGTCATCTTCTGAAATAGGCAGATTTTCCTGTTGTTACCCCTCTGGAATCCACTGTGCTGTGAAATAGCAAGCTGTACTTTCATCTGCATCACGCTACGTGTGAAATAAAGTCAGCAGCTGCACCATCTCATCAATAGTGATGATGCGAGAGTGAAACACAGTACTTCTCCCTCAGACCCCAAGTAGAGACTGTGAAGCCACCTCTTGGCAAAACTGTCCTTTGACTCCTAAACCAAATCTGTTTCCTGCTGACAGCAAAGAAATTTGGAGCCAAATTCTGATATTTTTACAGACTTCCCTCACAGAAGATAACCCCTCTTATTTCACTACTTATTGATAAATACTTCATTTTACTCCTTTACCCTCAAAATGTCTCAATAACTTAGAAACTTACCACAGATGAAACATGTCGTTTTCAGTATTTCCTCCTTTTTCTGCTTTTCACTCCTGAGATCAGCAAATGTATCAATGATGACTCCAAAGATTAGGTTTAGAACAATAATTATGACAATGAAATAAAACAGAAGATCATAAACAACTCGAGCAGCAAATAAGGGCTCCTGCAACAATAATAAGGTTGCAGTAAGATACAAAAATAGCAAACGTCTAAAATATTAAACAACACTTTCAAATTAACTCAAGCAAAGCTATGCATTTTTCTTCATATGCCAAATTCTGCTAGTCTTACTTGCACAGAGAGGGACTGGCTATATGAGTAAGCAAAGAAGATTTGGCTGCATGTACTCCTGTCTCTTTGGGACTCCTGCTGTCGTTTATGCAGTTTCCCAAATCAAGGAGAGACAGACTGGCTAGTATTCCAGGTGCAGTGCCTTAGTGTAGTGCTCTACTGAAGGTAACTACCTGGCCAGCACATTAACTGGGATAAGCGTTTTCTAGTACCATCTGAGACCTACAATAACCCTTAATGCTATGTTGTGGCATACAGGAATATGCTTAAGGAAACATGCTTGTGGAATGTCTTTGTGGAATTCACCAGACTGTTGCCAACTTTGCACACTAAACAACTGGAAGCAAGAGGAGCATACTTATGTGATGCCAGGCCTGAAGCAGCCTACCATGCTCTGTCCAAACATGGTGCATTAATGGCTTTATCACTATACTAAACCAGTCACCTGGTTATAAGCTGGCTCAGAGTGGGCAGACCAAGCTTATGTCTTTCTGGAATAGAACATGCACATGCACACACATTGCTCTGAAGTGCTCATATCTCCCCATTTCATTACAGTTTTGTATTTTCATGCCTTCACTATTTTCCTTCTTGCAAAGTCCGGATGTCTGGACATCCAGAGTCTGGACTCTCATTAACACTTCCAATAAAATAGCAAAGTTGTTCTGTGGCAAACAGGAGACAATACTCAGTGCAAGAAGGAGAAACATAAAATCCAGATCATGTTCATCATGACACTGTCTTGGAAGGCACCGATTTTCTCAGTTTCCCATGCATTTGTTTGGAGAACTTTGTACTTTTTATGGCATGCTTTAATGCAGTTAGTTACCATCACATTACTGCCAGGTGGCAAGCGTCATTTTCCAAGTTTGTAAGCGTCTACAGACTTCATCTGGATGGAGTGTGGTGCCTGTAGAATCTCCTAGCCTATGAGTAAGGATCTGGATTCCTACTACTGACAAAAAGTTGTAGTAGATCTGAGTTATTTTTCTCCGGACTCTTGCACATCCTGCTGAGGGACTACTTGTGAGCTTCATCCTTCTGTTAAGATGTGGTCCACTGGGCAAAGATCTGCTACACTGCCTTTATTTGTGCTGTTCTTGAATGTAAATCAAAATGCATAAGATCCAAATAGTATGAGTAGTTTTCAAAAAACTGCATTTTGGAGAAAACTTCTGGAAAAGGACTTGCACCCTGATATATCAAATTCTGTTCTGACTTTGATGCTAGCTCAGTACAGATAAGCAACAGGTCCTATTCCAGTGCAGATGCCAGGCTGAATTTCAGTTAATAATACACCTTATGTACTAGAATGGAGTCTTGACGTAAACTTATCAGTCAATCCTTTTCAAAAGTTTGCATTTGTAATTACTAATGTAATAGTAAATTGATCCAACCTAGCAACACTTCTTAGCAGTGCTTTGAAGGTTACAATATGTTCCAGTTTTCCAGAAGGGATAAACTACTGCCTAGAGTTCCTTTCTTCAAGTAACATCATCACAAAAAGCTTAGCTCTTCCCATTAAGTATTCCATCTGAGATGTAAAAATTACATGGATAAATCAACACGTGTGACATTAGAGAAGGCCAGATAAAAATACTGTCTATAACCTCCAAAATTGACTTTGGCATTCATGAGATGCACAGGGAGTAATGCATTTCTTCAGCCAAAACACTTACATCTTTGGAAGGCTTTCTGAGCACGTCTCCCACGCCACCACCATTTCGCAGGCCTTGGTTTAATACTGTCACAATGCACATGAGCAGGGTGTCACAGGTCCTTTCAATTCCATCCTCCTCTTCCTCACCTATAAACAGGAGAAGAGCACCTTCAGGAATCAGAATATCAAACGATCACTTATCAAACAAAGCCGCAACTCTCAATGAGAGAAAGCAACTGCAATACATCTGCCTTCTGTATCCTCTAGCTAGAATTTCAATGATCATCCCCATCCATTTGCACGTCACTGCTGGTGACATTCTTAGGCACAGCAGCCACATTTACCCTGAAGAGAGACAGTGAAAATCACAAGCAGTAACCGTTTATGACCACAGTCGTCATCTCTAGTCATGGGAGTATCCCTTCCCTTACAAATACTCCCACTGGTTTCAGTATGACTGCTTTTTCAGCGGGCCTCCAAAGTGCACAGCTGACGTGCAAAAGAGAAGCAACATAAACACAGAATTAGAAGCACATTCACAGAAGCATTGTCTTCCTGTGAAATCATTCCTCTACCTACTTATGCACAAGCCAAGTCATGTTAGCATTTCAAATTGCTCAGGAGGTACTGGCTTTTGTACCAGTAAATCTGTCCGTGATCTTTCCCTGGCGCACCAGCGCACGTGCCTAAGCACAGGTCTGATATACATTAAATGAAAGACTCTCACTGACCTCAGCCTGAAAACTTGGATTCTATTCTTATCACTGCTGCTGAGTTGCCGCATGGTTTTGGCTGAGCCACAGAGGATACTGTTGTGCAGGAGGTATTTGAACGTGCAGAGGAGCTGGGCTGGAACACAAGTCCCAGAGGGACTCCCTCTGCCTTGGCCAGAATTCCTCCCACCACGCACTCTCAAGCTGTGGCTGCATCAGCAACCTCCTTTTGAAGAGCCCTGCTTGAGCTTTTCCCTGTGTCCTGCTGGCTTGCGCTGAAGGGTCAGGGCTATAACTGCTGCTTATCCTGCCTCTCTCTCCCTTTCTCTTTAGGGATACATTTGATTAAGCGGTGAAGGCAGCAATTTTCACTTGGTTTGCCTCACACACTTACTGTAATACAATTTAATAAATAACAACTGCCTGCTGGGATAGTTAACTGAAACAGCATATTTAACAGCCCCCAAACCACCACATCTGAGGCACCGAGATAGACTTTGATACGCCAAACTGACTGAAAGCATTCACATTACAGACAAGCAATTTGGATTCAAAACATGGCTTCCTCGATGGTGGTTTATGTGATAGATACATGCAGAACAGAGATGGTATCCTCTGCTTTTGCCACCACTGCTTTTTCTATACAAGCAAATTAAATAGAAAAGAATTCCTGATTGAAGGGACTCTAAACAAAAAGAAAAGCAAAAGCAGACATGGGACAGACTTCTTGTTGATCTATATAGTCACTGCAGACACTGCTACCTTTAAGAATGCCAGATTTAAAAAAACAGAAGCAAAGAAAAACTCCCAGAAAACTGGTCGAATATTGAAATTGAAAGGATTGAAACAATGAAATTTTTTTTTTTGGCTGCTGCATCTGGATAATTTTTACTCACACTGTGACCTTAGTCATATCAATTCGTCTCCACTACTTTCGTATCCTGTCTCAATTTCCTTTTTCCAAATGTTACTCCATGGATGTTTTGGGAGCTAATCTCTGTGCTTGAAAAGATGACATTCGCAAAAGAAATAGAAAAAAAACAAAACCCAAAGACTTGATAAGAGCCACAGCTTCTATTTCCTTTACGTACTTAGAGAACAAGATTTTTGTTGCTCACAAGACTAGGGTCAGGTGCTGGAAACAGCAGACGTGGGAGCTGGGTAACTCTACTGGCACATGCCTGGCCCCAGCTGGTTTGCCCTAGTGCTCAGCAGTTCTCACAGCTCAAACATAGCTCCCGTCTACACACATACACACAGACTATGCCCACATTACCAACAGGAGTAGACCTGGAGCTTGAAATGGTGCTATGTGAATGCTGAATGTGGTTCAGAAGGCTTTTACTTGCAACCAGCTCCAGCCTGGTGAGTGACCCATTAATGGCTGGACAACATTACGATAGGCTGTCTTCTGATCAGGTTTAATTCAAAAGTAATGTAGAATGGGCACTGAGACCACCCCGTGATGGCAATCACAAGGCAGTGAAGTGGGATGACAGGAAGGTTCACTTAAAAAATTGCTTCTAGTGGCCCACAGCCACCTGGCTTGAGGGCTTGAGCTGCAACACAAGCAGAGGCAGGGAAGACTTGCATGCTCACATGGATCAAACTGAACTTATATGGAGTGGTACCAGGCCTGTGAGTGGAATGAGTGAAGATATCTCCCTTTAAAAAAAGGTGTCTGCATTTTTCCAGCATTGGCCTTTGTGGACTAAAGAGCACAAAGTGCATAAGGCCAAGCCCACATATGTGGGATGTAAAGATTAAGCGGATTAAGCACTTCATCAGGTAAAGACTTAAGTGATATGGGAATGCCTTTGGAGTAAAGAGTGGGAGACTCCACAGGAGAATGAGACAAAATATTTTTAGGCTGACAGCTCAATGCAGCGGGGAGGAAGCAGGCTATGGAGAGGGGACATTCCTGAGCAGAGCAGACTGGCTCTCAGTTAACTCCATCACTAAAATAAGCAATGACTGAGCTCAGGCTCAGCTGGTGAAACTCAATGTGGAGGCACAACTTCATCAGAACAAATGATCTGTTGCAGTATGATTTAAAAAGCAACATATCTACGTTTCCACTGTGAACCTGAGATGTCACTGAAAACACTTTATGTATCCTACAGACAGCAGCGAACTTCTTGCATGAATCCCGCCAACTCCCAGCCTGACTTGCCTTTGCATTCTGCACTCACATTTTTGCCAGAAGGCAGAACTGTCCCAGGAGAGGACAGAAGGTAGATTCTCAGTAACTTCGGAGTTTATCCATTGGCCAAAATGAGCAAAATGGTTCTTCCTGAATGTTGTTTTTTTAGTATTACTGGATGAATAGAAGTAGTCCAAGATTAAGTGAGAGGGTACTTAGATGTTTCATACAGCCCTCTTCCATTATTGTTTAATTTTTAAAGAAACAGTAGTCAAAGAATAAGAAATGTGAGATTTCTATCATTTAAAGCTTGGCAAAAGCTAAGCTGCATCACTTTTGACTGATTGATTACTTTTTGAATGTAGCAGCCTTGGCAATATCTCTTAGACTATTTTCTCTATCTGGTCAGACAGCTTCCCATTTTGTTTATGAGGCCTATTTATGCACTTGTTTACAAACTTGCTGGGGAGAAAAAGACTGCTTTTATAGCCCTCTCCCTCACACCCTTCATCCTCATGAATAAATAAATAAACAAAAAGTTCAAAATCAGAACAGGGAGAAGGAAGCATGTAAAATTGTTATACTGGATATACTGGAACACAGGATAGGAAGGGAGCACTCAAGTCCTCAGCTTCAGTCCCTGGCAACCACAGGCAAGTGCAGCAGGAATTGGTTAAAGCCTGTAGACCAGGCATGTCCAACTCATGGGCCACACGCAGCCTGGGATAGCTTATAATGTGGCCCACTCCATCGCTGTGCCATCATGGCAGCAGTTCTTCCCCACCAAGTGGCCTAGCCTGGTCCCAAGCGCTCAACTATTACTCAGCAACAATCAAAACTTTTCACTCAGAGGGTGGTGACAGGTTGCCCAAGGAGGTTGTGGATGCCCCATCCCTGGAGGCATTCAAGGCCAGGCTGGATGTGGCTCTGGGCAGCCTGGTCTGGTGGTTGGTGACACTGCCCAGGGTAGGGGGCTGGAAACCAGATGAACATTATGGTCCTTTTCAACTCAGGCCATTCTGTGTTTCATTCTATGATTCAAAATGTTGGCCCAAGACAATTCCTTTTCACTCAGTGCATCACAGGCAAGTCAAAAGGCTGTTCACCCATATAGACCATCCACTGCACACTCATGCTGCAAAGGCCATATCCCACTAAAACAAATGCAACAATTGCAGTGCAAGACCAAATGTCTCAGGAGAAGGGAGTAGGGGAGACAGACTAGCACCAATGTTCAGAGGTCCTGAGTGACCCTGTAGCCTCAAACAATAAAAGAGGGCAGAGAACGCTGTCAGCTTGATCTACAGCAAATTCCTTCCCCTCCCAGTGTCTGGTAATTGGCTTGATTCCAGTAGGACACAGTGTACAGATCTTTTTTAATGGAACATACTTACAGCTGACAGGGTCCTTCTGTATACAGATCAGCTTCATAATGCAGGTATCAAATTAAAACCAGACCAACTCACCCGCTGAACTATAGCAATTAAGCTTTTCACTTGCCACAAACATAAAGAAACAGAACTTGCCTATCACAAGCAAGGCTTGTAACAGCTTCATTTCCTTGCATCTTCCACAGGCTGGGAACACATAGATGGACTGCTACCCATGCTTAACTGAGCCACAGCAACTCATTAAGGCATAGCTGGTCCTGGATCTGAGCTCTTAGGTTTTCTGCCTACACTACAACCTCAGCCTAGACACATGGGAAAAGTAGAAACAAAAGCTTGCTGTTAAATGCTACACCATTAAAATAAACTCAAGCAGCCCTAAATGGATCTAATTGTGGCTCACTCTGTGCAGGTGAGAATGCTGCTTTTTCTCTCAGCAAAGCCAGATTAAAAAAAAAAAGACCTGTCTGTTGAAGCATAACGATTCAGCATGCTATTTTAATAACAAAACTCATGTTGTTGCAATTGTAATCAGGTGTGGGAAGCACTTCAATTATAGGCAAGTTGCCAGCTAAGCTCCAAGCATTCCAGAAGTTGAGTGCTTCTGACTTACAATGATAATCACTTTTCACACACAGTCTGTGTAATAATAACACACAAATCCCTCAATTCCAATTGATCATCAATTTTGGGAAACTTTTGTACTAACCTGAGTTAACAATAGGAATGCTTTTGGAACAATTCTCTTTTGCACAGGCTCCCATCATTGATGTGAGGGTCGTTGTGGGGACTTCGCCAATACCTAAAGGAAATAGCAGAATATTAACAAAAAGACAGATATTGCACTGATAAAAATACTTAAATCAATATTTTTCTAGAAGCAAGTCACCAATTTGAAAAGTTGAGAAGAAAAAGCAGAACAAATTATACCACCAGTTCCTCCTTCCTCAAACATTCTGCATCAACAGCTCAAAGCAATCACAAGGAACAAAAACAGTTTTATATTTACTGTGTATCACAGCTATTCCTATTTCATCTCCTGAAATTAATGAATCTACATCAAATGATGCTTCTTCTGGTTAAAACAAAATATATTCAAAGCAAGGAACGACTGTCAGATATAAAAATAATGTCAGTTTTAAAACCATTAGATAAATTATTCACAAAAGCTGACAAGAAGGACACCAAGCTGATGTTCAGTTATCCTGAACGTAGAATATTTAAGAGTTTTCAAGGATTATAACACAGTTTGGTACTCATTTGTAAATATGTATGGGTTTGAGTAAAACACTAATTTAACATTCCCAAAGTAGGTAAATGTGTACATCCACTTGATTTTATCAAACCAATTTTGTCTTGTGCATCTTCAACAATTTTCTGCATTTCAAATCAGAGATACAAAAAGGTTTACAGAGAAAAAATGAAAGCAAAATGATGCAACCATAGTAGAAATCTAAGAAAATTTCTGTAACACAGAAAACACATCTACTCTGACTCTGTCTTTGTGTTACTTTATAAAGAAAAAAATTTATAGCACTTTTCTTGGGATGCAAGACATTCTATCAGTATACCATCAGCATATTTGCTTGATCTGTTTTTGATCAGAAATGGCAATGCATTAAGCCAGAAAGAATATACACACACATACCACTAAAACCTTCTTAAGAACTCAGCTGAAGAAACATAATCACACAGTAACTACTGCACTGGATCAGACCAGAGTTCCATGTAACCTAGCCTCCATTCTCCTAGGCTAGCTACAATTATTTTTCTAAATGAATCTTCAGATTATAAGTTCTGACCCCAAATGAATGGTAAATCAAATATAAGTCATCTTAGCCCTTTGAAGATGATCAGTGACATAAAGCAAGGTCTGTTAAAGAAATCTGTCAAGTTCCTTTTCTTACATGGTATCAATTAGATATATGAGTATATCATACTCCCCTATGCCCACAAGTCATGAATGAGCTTTGCCTAATTTGTGTGCAGCAAGTCCTGAAGTATGAGTTGGGAGAAGGCTGGCAAAAAAGGAGTGCACACAATCTGGACTGGCTCCTACTGGTTGTTCTTGCTTGCACACATGTCTGGAGCGCTCAGCATTGGGAAAAACATTCCTCTAGGAATTTAACCAAAAGTTATTCTCAAATATTTCTATGCAGACAGTTACTTCTCTGCCCCTGCTCCCAGTAGGCTGATTGGTAGCATGTACATAAATCTCAGCATACCAGAACTAGCTTTTTTTCTAGCAAATAGAGCTTGCAATTCTCTGTCCATTTTGGTAAAATCTCTCATTCCAAGAAGTTGAAATCCTGCCATCTTAAAAACTGGCTAAAAACCTTCTGATTAGTTTACTGAAACCAAGATTATACACTAAGTGTGTATTTTCTAAAATATATGCTGAATTTACAAGATGCTCTCAGGAAATCTCCTATCAGCAGAAACATAGATTTCTTAATAAACTTCTGCTGCATGAAGCTTAAATAGTTATCAGGTGAATGCACTTACTGAACATGCTAAGATTACATGCCTCATGCAGTACGGAGAAAATAAGAAGCACTGCTTCTGAGGTGGAATGAGAACCATCAGAATCCACTTTTATAATACTTATGAAATGTAGATGTATATCTTTTTAATGTTAGCAGAAGTTAGAAAAGAAAATGCAGCAGATCAATACTAACTGTGTGAGTGTTAGATTTTAGTTAGATTTAGTTAGATTTCAACAGGAAAGCCTCAAAAACAACTAAACATGAAATTTTACCTAGACTCTTAATTTAGTCCTAAGGCATATGGAGTTAGTTAGGCTTCCACAAGATACAAACACATCATTAAAATTTCCTCTGAGCAAAGATAAGTCAGTCAGACAGAAAGGTGTACTTTGGAAGCAAATTTTAATAAGAAAAGCAATACCTGCAACAGGGGTCCTGATTTTCAACCTGTCGACCTCCATGATGAAGTCGTCCTTCAGGAAGAGGAACCCGATGATGGAGAAGAGATAAACCAGGATGAGTGCTAGCACTGCAGTGAGGATGATGGAACGACCATTCCGGGTAACACTTTTTATCACGTTTAGCAAAGTCTCCTCTCTATATACTAGATCAAACAGCTGGAAATATAATAATGTATAGAGGAAAAAATGAATACAAATGAGGCTACATACAGAACACATGCAGATCGTACATAGGAACACAATTTGAACTATTGAAACATACGTCTACCCATGTTCTGAAGTCCTAACTTCATAAACATACAATTCACATTGATTTCAATGGGTGCTGGGGTTGCATATACAGGAGGAGAGAATCAAGCACAGAACTTGAAATTTTAAGATAGATTCCAGCAAAATCAAAAGCTAAAAGGTATGCTTTATATAGGAGACTGATTCCGACTCATGTAATTGTTACCAACAAGATTCACTGTTTATTCATACTCAAAACCAGGCTAGATTAAAATTCAAAGACAGTGTCTCCATACTACAGATCTACATCCACAAATTTATTTTTTTTGTTATGTCCCAGCTGATGAACACGCATGGGTTGCATCTGAAAAACTTACTTGTGCAAGCAAGTAATTACATATCTGTAAGCTGTAAGCTTTCTTTGAGCTCATGGGATCATTTAAAAATGACTCACATGCACAAGGATTTGGGCCATCTCTTTTTAGGACAAACTTAAATTCATTGTACTGTTTGTACAAAAGCCCAAACTTATTTCCATTCTTATTTACCCTGCACTATGTGCTTTTCTGGTATTTAGAGAAAAGTGTACATGAAGTTAATATCACTTTCAATGTCAAAGGCCTAAAAAGAGCAATTAAATGTGATAAGTGCTTTTCAAGAATCTACAGCTTTTTTCTCTCTTACAATTCTATTGATTTGTTATAGTGCTTTGGACTTTATCTATAATATATGTGTATTCCACTTCAAATCACACTGATTACAGACATAAAGTGACAGACTGTGATTGATCAAAATGGTCCACAGGAGAAGGTATTAGTCACAATTCAGAAGACCTGAAATCCACAGCCTTGTGGAAGGATAAATAATAAAGGAAGAAAGAGGAAAGACACTTACCATTCATTCCATACAAGACAAAGAGGAACAAATATCAGAGTCTGGAATACTTCCCCTACAAACTGAACACCTGTAAGTAACTTGGGAATGTGGATAATTATAACATCCACGAATCATGAACATTTGTTCACAGCCATCACTATAGAAAGTAAGGATATTAAATGTTTCCTAAACTACATGGAACATCAGTATTGTTTATAGAGAATCCCCTACTCACTGAAGGAGTAATGTGATCTGCAGTGCATTTTGAAGGAGGGCATTAATTAGTAGGAGAGATGCATCCAGTTGAAAAGGGCCTTGCAGCTAAAGCCTCAAAATCTTGACTACTTTGAAGTCTGTTCAATCCTGAAGCTGACTTTACTGTCAAGATATTGACTTGGAAAGTGACTTCAGCAAGAGAGAGTAAGGCTTGAATCCCTAAATTCTGGAGTGCTTAACACACCTCTGTGCCATGTCACCCCTATTTAGGAAGCTGAGAAAAATACAACAGTGGGATAGTGAATAAATATAAATGACCACAGTTTATTCTGTCTCCCTAAAAGTTTCACGTTTCAGTATAGAGCAAAAGGATTAGAAAACAAGAACAGTGAAACCCCTTTTACTGCCACTCAGCATGAAGGGAGCAGTTAGCTGAGTTTAGCATAATTTTGTATGATTCATTTTCACTGCACCTGTATCATATTATAAAAAGGCATTCTATCCAGGTAATAACAACAAAAGAAAATTGAAGTGGCATACATTTAATGTGATGAATCTTTCTGCTAGCCCAGAGGCATGCCATCCCTATTCCCCAAGTAGTTTTTTTATGGCAACATGTACAGAGAGATGGGATAGTTAGCATAATACCAGTGGCCAATTTCTGCCCCAGACAGACCACAGCCTGAAGACCCAACTGACACAAGATACAGGAACAACATATGCTGAATAAAAGTATGCTGGGGAAGAACAGAAGAAAGGAGTGGGCTGTATGATAATTTTGTGAAAAGAAACAGAAAACTGTCACCTCTAAAACAGATAAAGTAACTCCTAACAGAAGCAGGTTCTAATGAAAACAGCAGCTCCTACAGGGCAGCAACACAACGGCATGCTAAAAATACACATCATTTGGCTTGATTGTCAGGAAGAAATTGAAGACAGCTGCATACGTGTAACGGTATTTTCTATTTTTGCAAAGTTTTCCCCTCCACAGAAGCACACACTTACCAGGAAACTGTAGAAGAATTCATGCACACAGAGGCCCAGCATGCAGACCAGGACATATGCCACGTGATAGAGAAAGGCCATGTCCATGACGACCGCTCTGTAGCCACGAGTAAAAGTTCCCCGGTTTCCAACAAAGCTCACCAGAAACACTATTTTGTTGCAAAGCTGTGGGGGGTAAAGAAAGGCTAGGTTTACTCCGTCAGAAAAAAATGCTGTTATTTATTGCTTGCATTGCTGTAGAATAAAAAATTCTGGATAGGCTACTTTGAACAAGCACTCAACTTCTAGATGGCTGAAGTTCAAATGAGACAAATCCAACTCCAAGACACGCTGGGTGTGAGTCCATCAGAGTAACTGGAAGTGTATCACCCCTTCACCACTGCATTGAGTGTCATGACATTGGGGTAGATCTCTACAACATTCATGAGAAGGCAGGGTGGGATTAGCATCATAAGGCATTAAACAACAACTGGGGAGTGAATTCCTACCAATTCTTACCAATTCCTAACAACGAGTTCAGACCTGAGACCGTGCAGGAGCAGCTATAAATGCAATTGCAAAGAGAACAATAGTAACACAACAGCATGTGTGGAGGTGGGAAAATCTCCCATTTCCTTCAGATCACATTTTTTCAGAAGAAGATCCCTTTTAAATGTACCGGTGTCATTTCTGAAGAATGGTTTTTAAGCACCAGCAACAGATTTGCCATTGCTCCTGAGCTCTGCCTGCATGTGAGAAGTACTGCAGCAGTACATAGGAAAGGGGCATTTGGTAATCCAGGACTAGCAATAAGGACTCAACATGTTTCTTCTTTCACAGATTTCACATGGCCAAGCACTGCTTGCTTGCCTTTACCTTGGACACATGCATGGGCATTTTTGAGCATGCAAAATTTTCATAGAATCAAATAACCTAATACTTTGCTGCCTGGTGCTAAGCTGAATTAGGGCTGCAGCAGTCAGGCAGAAATCTAAAATGATGACTTCTGAGCGTGACTGCCTATCCTACAAAGCTCAGTAAACATGCAAACACAGCCATGAATAAATTAAGAGATCTGGGAAAGGGCTGAGAGAATTTTTAATTTTGAAAACTTTTTTCAAAAATATAGATTTAGGTTCACAGAAACACCTGACAAATTTGTGTCAATTCTGCTGAGCATATTTGTAGAGAAAATTCTTCTTTTAACACAAGGAACTGTAAATTGGATTCCTTTTATTCAGCAATATTTCTTTGAAATTTCATATTGTTTTTATTTTTAAAATATTTGCATGTGAACAAAACCAAATCTCCTTTTCTTCTCAGCTTTTCTGTTTGCTGACATCACTGTTTCAGGATGACTGGAAATTATTTTTTTTCTTTGCCTTAACCAGTGAGCCTGAAAAAGAAATTCTTTGCACAGTTCTAATTGAGGCCCTTAATATCTCTGCCTCTGCTGGAAGGGAAATTTCTGCTTGCTTCTTAAGTACTTACATTAGCAGCACCAAGAAGTATCAAGGTAGGACCGAGCCCTATTGTATATATAGACCTGAGAATCACAGACACCAGAAAGGGTCGAATGCCAACAGGCTTGGAGATGAAAAACAGCATTGCTGTACAAAGTGCCACAGCTATCCAGAGGAGGACCGAAATCAACGGAGAAAGTGTGCCTGTATGGAGAAGAATGGGAGAGTTGAGAAACACATCTTTTGGAGACTCAGTTTTTCACCACAAAACAGATCCAGAAGATCAATTCCTTGGCCCATATAGCTAAGACAAAGTGTGACTCATGCATCACAACTGCTGACCACGACTTACCCTAACTGCAGTAAGAACTATTATCATAGTATTGTTGATTTGCACAGGTAATATAATAAGAGCAGCTAATGAAATTTCCATTAAGATCTGCACAGTGCTCAGAGATGAAATAGTTTACCCTGTTCCTGGAGCAGGCTACTAATCATCTCCCTCTTGCAGGGATCATTAGGACTCCTTTGGTCTAACTCGGTGATTGTTCGGCTGCAGAAATAGCTGGTCCTTGGGTTGGCACAGCAGTTGCACCAGCCACAGCGTCTCGTTCCCAACCCAAAGGGCACAGAAGCGCCCTGCTTTTAGAAAAGCAGCTTGCTGCTCAAGGGCTGCAGGCATTCAGCAGGAGGCAGCTCTGCCTCTGCACAAAAATCAGCCGCTCGCCACAGTAGGGGGTGGCCATGGGGACTTGGGCAGAAGCAGCAGCATCTGCACTGCCAGGAGCTGCCAAACCACTGTGCCTTGCTCCCAGCGGGTGGCAGGTCCCTGCTCTTGCTCAGCTCCTGCAGGCACATAAGCCTTCAGAGTCAGGCTGGGCAAGGTGATGGCTCCCAGACTCTCCATGAAATTTGAGTGAAGCCCATGCTTTCCTTTTCTCCTTTGCTTAAAGCCTTGGGAACACACCACGTCGCTCCGATGCAAAAAGCACATTCAGGTCTCGGGGTGCTGTCACACTCATACACTGATTTCTACTGATTAACTGAGAGCTCAGTGGCAGGGGAGAACAGAATAGAGAATTTCATAAGCATCGCAATAGGAATAATGGTATCTCTTTGGCAGCAGATACACAGCTAAGCAGCATCAGTGGGATTAGAAAACAATAAGGTGAGGCCTTGTCCTCAAAATTCAGATAGCATCCAAACTTTTCCAAAGTTCAGGAGTGTTTATATCCTTGGCAAGAGATTCTTTGCCAACAAGATCTGGAAATTTTTAATAGATCCTAAAAAATAGCTTCAAAGTGGAGCTGAAAGGTAAGAGCGAAGCACTCAGCGTTTCTTTAATAAATTTTTCCTTCTTCCCTACTGCAGGTCAAACGATTTTGTGTCATGTAACACATGCATATATGCACAGGGCAAAGAAACCTCATCTGGAGTGCAATTTCGCTTACGCCGTATGATGTAAGAAGTGCAGAAATCCATCAGAAGGCAGCAGCATTCCTGAGATGATTAGATCAGCCCAAGCACCTGGGACATATGAGTATGGATTTGCACAAGGGAAAGGGAGAAAATGTGAGACAAACTCCAGCTCCTAGATCAGTTTTTGGTGGAGACTGGAAGTAAGGAGTCTGCCTCGTGACCGTGCTTATCCTATTGGGCCACACCTATTGTTTATTGTTCAGAAGTCTCTTCTACTGCTGCAAGGACTAGGAATTGGAATCCTGAAATGCACTATCTCTGAAATCACTGGATTACTCAGGCCACTTAACTAATACCATATAAATCTGCAGTTCCAACTATTAATGCCTATTGACTGCAGACCAGAGGATTTCCCTGAGTATAAATTAGCTAAAAATTCAGTAGCTTAAAAGGCTTATTTTTAACTCTTTATTTCTTCTCTTACACTCTGGCATGTGTGCACTCTGAGTGACTCTTCAGCTTTCAGGCAGGAAAGCACTGCGTACAAATGCTTCCCATTTCCACAGCTGAATCCTGCAGACACGAGGCTGTGGAGCTCTCTGTGCTGTGACCTGCAGAGCCCACCCTGCAAGGTGAAAGTGCAATGTGGTCTCCATGCCAATCTACTTGAATCTGCTGCTTTCTGTTTAGCCAGCCAACAGGAATGTTGGATGGTGCCAATTCTGGTATTTGTGAAAAACACATGCATCTACTAGAAGCTGGCCTGTTTCCAGTAGTGCAGTTCACATGCCATCAGACAGAAGTGACTTTCAGTCACATTACTGGCTAGACTGGACATGAATCAAAGACCCAGAGGTGAATGGATCTACTCTTATTACCAGTCTCCTTTATCCCAATTAAGCTTGTTTGGGATTCAAAGAGGCCACCTGCTACTCTGCTGCATTTATTTAATGAAATTTATTATTTGCTGTATTTCTATGACATATGATGAAGCAGAGATAGAATCACATCTTTTAAGCATATTTTTATATAATGCGTTTGTCGTCTGCATCATTACATGTCAATGAGTTAGTTTTCATATCATCATATTCCACATTTTAACATTGCAAGTCACTCAAATCGGTCAGTTTTAAGGAATCTCAGTCCCTCTGCTGCTAGGTACCCTTCCTCAGCTCAGAAACTGTAACTGAATGTGTGCATTACTACACTGCAATCTGACAATAATTAAGCAAAAAAGAAAAGAATTAGCTCAGATAATCTACACGATCTTCAGATCAGCTCCTGTGTTCTGTCTGTTTTGTTTCATGTCACATAGGACATGACACACTGAAGGTCAACATCTCAGACAACATCTGGTTCCTATCTAGGAGACACTACTTGGCTTCTGCAGAAACAAGCACACCTGAAGATGCAGTTTTACATAACCATGTTACCTCAGAATAAAAGCAACTAAAATCAAAAGGAAAAATAAAACCAAATTCCACTTGCCTTCATCTCCATCATCTCCAAAGGGATAGAACAGAGCAACTGCTAAGTTGATGAATACAGCAAGGTTGAAGGAAATGCTTCCCCAGAGAGAGATGTGTCGTGAGAACCAAAATAGGAGTGGATTATCTAGAAAAGGGAGAAAAAAAAGCAATGAATGGGAAGAAAGCAGGCATCAGCCCAGTCAGTAATGGACTCAAGGGAGTTAAACAATACAGATTAATGAAGAAAACTGAGGTAAACAAAACAAACATGCAGAACTTTAAAATTAGCTAAAAGAGACGTAGTAAACATAGGCTAGCCATAAAATATTGTTTCAAGCAGGATTTTTCATCCAAAATCTCCAATACAGTTCAATACATATGAAAGTTTTGCCTCAGCTGAGGTTTTACAACTGGACCTTGTGTGAAGGATTCTCTTCACCTGGCTCTGAAACTGTAGTGTGGAAATATGGAGTCCAGTGAACAGCTGGATTTCAGGCATCCTGCATGTCAGGCAACCAGGAGACCCAGCACAGGTCATCCAGCTGACCCATTTGGATCAGTTATGCAGATGATATTATTCAAAGAAAAATGGAACAGGCAAAGCTTCAGAACTGCAGTACTTTCACCACCTCTATCAAACTACACATATCTCAATCTACTTTGAGGAGCAGATAAAATTTGGTCTGAGTGGAGTATGGTTCCATGAAAGCTATCTCCTGTGCTATACTCAGACATCCAAGATTACCTGCTGAGCAAGGACTCTGTACTATTAAAATTATTTGAAGCTTTAAAAGGAAGCCAGGACCTTCAAATGTGAAGTACTATGTGAACACCCAGAAGCAGACTATATTTCAAAGGACCTTTAGCTAAGTTAGAAAATGCAAAATAGAGAAATAAGGAAAAAAAGTGTTAATACTTTGTGTCCAGAGTCATATAAACAATTCAGCAAAAAGCCCAGGAACAAGATCAGAGGGTACTAAGACCCAGGCAAACACTTCATATTTGAGATCGCACTATCATATGTTTAAATGAACATTTGAAATGTGCAGTGGTGTGAGAAAACCCTTAGTCAGAGAAGTTTAGCTATTTGAACATGATGTATTCATATCAATTAGATTTGCAAGTACTGAAAGTCTCTTGCAAATATGAAAAACATATTTTTGACTTGCCTGCACCCAGCTAACTTTTCATACAGATTCCTTTAGTTGAAAATTACTGTCTCAGTCTAAATGATTAGGTAAATAATTAGGTTAAATGTGATTAGGTGATAACCTTATGCTGTTGACTGCTGGGATTTAAGTGTTTGGAGCCATTGCAAATGGCATTGTCAATTTCAGCAACAGAGACTGCCTGGTAACAGACACTTTGAACCAAATGAACCAAAACCTAAACTTACATTATCTTTTCAAACAACAACAAAAAAACCAACATGGAGACTTATGGGCTGTTCCACTGATGAAAGGAATTGAGGAATTTCTGTTCTGAATAAAAATAAACCAGTTTTCCTTGCTTATACCATCAGGGAGATCTGGTTTATGTAAGTACAAGGTCGGGCTTTTTTAATTTGTGTTTCTCAAGCAAGAAAAAACAGACACACTATTGTCAGTGAAGTAATTTTTCTACAATCTGATGAATTTTATTCCCAAATGGACTGCAGAGTGAGGGAGTGATTCTGGAATCATCTATTTTACACCTTTACTCTGCTCAGATTGTCAGTACAGACAACTTTTCACGGTGCCACCAAGGAAAGTGGATCTGGGCCAGTAGGATTCACATGGAAAACTTTCACTTGCTTCTGAAAATTATATCTTGAGAATTGACATTTTAAGAAACTGTATCCAACACTCTTGTTTCTTTCAGATTCAGGATGCTGCATTAAGGTATATTGCTTTAAGTATCCAAACTCCCTGCTGCTCTGACCATAGATCTTGTTCTTCACTTCCTTCCTAATCAATTGCATAATGCTGCTGTGAGCTACTAAACAGCTGATGTCTGCCACCCCAGCAGCATCTGCATTTTAGCAGTGAACAAAGTGATACACCCTATGTGTTTATATACACGTATACACATACAAGATGTACATTTCCTTTCTGTCTGTCAAGGATACTGTAGATTTTAAATTAGTTTGTAGCCCTGATTCTCTGCTCCAAATTCAAAGGGCACAGCTGACAGTTGCAGAGCTGGCAGGAGCTCCCCGCCCCTGGGACACTGGCAGGAGCAGCAGCCGCCCCATTCCTGGTGAGGGCCAGCAGCTGTAATGCCAACCAGTGAACAAAATAAGAAACTCATGTTACGTGGCTTGGTTTCCCTTGCAGCTTAAGCAAGTACATATACCTCTCTCACTGCCACAGTACATACACCAGGATGGGCTCACAGATGGGGACATTCTGCAGCCTAGTCAAGCAAGGATGATGTGAACTGGCAAAGGGGAACGGACTCCATGGGAGTCATGCAGATTTAAAGCAGCTGAAGTTCTGCTGAGAGATATTTATAAGTGACTGACGTTAACCAATTTTTAATGGTCTTGTAGGTATTTGCAAACCTCAAATCTGCAGCTACACGTGGTTTTGTTATATATTAGAGGTCTTGGCTCAATTAGGTGCCACTCTACTGAATTTAGTGGAGCTACCCCCTGTTCATCCATTCTTCCATTTAACTTTTGCAGTCAGGAACAGCATCTTCAACACATTATTTACATTAGTAGCTGCTCCATATTATGACTCTTTTAGCTAAGTGCAAGTGTCTCAGCTGACCTACACACTGTAGATCTACTCTCTCAAGTTCTGAGAAGCTCTGCCTGTTGCAATATCAGAGTGAATAATGAAAAGTGTATTACTAAAATTGAAAATATTTGAAGACTTAAAAGTGAGGTTTTAACATAATTGAGGTATTTTTCAAAATTGCAATACTTACTCCTAATTTTCTTTTGCCATTTCATCTCATTGTACAGATCTTCTGTCTGTTGGAAAAAGTCATTGACTTTGCTCCCTTGTTCATCTCTCTCTGTTGTATTGAACACCCGACTTTTGGATTCCCGAGTGAGAAATTCACAAATATTGGGGACAGGGAAGACAATCTGTTCCATTGTTCTATCATGACGAACAATCTATAAATAAAATGTACACATATTTTTTCTCAGGATCAGTGACTTTTCAACCATTTTGTCACAGCTCTTTTTGCTCACAGCTTCCTTATAATTTATAAATGAATGCATAAATTATTTGGACATTACCAAAAAGTCAGTCAATGAATCCTAAAACATGAAGTAAAACCGCATTTCTATTTTCAAAAATCTGCTTGAAAATACAGTGACAAATTATATATCTCAACTGAAACCTAGGCCCAAACCTCCCCCAAACATAAAAAATATTGCAGTTTAGAATGCTTCAGTTTTGCAGTGGATTGAAATGAAACTCTTACTAAACAGTGCAGAAGTTCAGAGGCTTTCTGATGGATTATGGAACTCTTCTTTCACCTTGAATTTATTTCTATGATGACAGAAGTTGCGAAGGTGAAGACGCAAAAAAAGCACCTTGTTACTCAGAGAGAACCCATTTCTTGTCAGTATTTCTTTGCTTACCTCGCAAGAAACAAGGTCTTGCATTATTTGTGTTTTAGAGTCTACTGAGCTATCAGTGAGCGAGTTAGATTTTACTCCATTTCACTACACTGTCATCCAAATTGCTTTCCTTTTCTGATCATGGAGTCTGCATTACTAGTCAATGGAAAAATGGGGTTTTTTTACTTCTTCATTTTTACTTCTAGACCCATGTCTCAGTAGAGGCAGCATTATGGAAAAAAAGAAACTATATGACTTTCAAATCAAACAAATGAGATATCCCAACATAAGGGAGCTATATATGAAATGCCTAACAGGTCAAGCAGTGCTTTCATCTAAAGAACAATCCATTGGATTTTGGAGCAATGCTGGGCTGAGTTTCAGTTTTCCAATCACAGTCCTGCATATCAGGACCTTCTTTTCTCTCTTATAATTTATATTTATTAGCTGAACATACAAAAAATCAAACTCATCCTAAGCCATTTTTAAGCATAACATACTCAAGCACATTTGCATTGGAGATGAAGGATAATTATTCGTCTGCCCAAGGGCAAGTACATCCTGTGAAACTGAACAGGCTACTTTGAAGTATCCTAGGTAAGCAGTTATTCCTTAGGCCAGTGGTTGTGCTCTGGGACTGTGTGGCAAGTGAAAGACCCTGACAGCACATCTTCAGTTTGGTCTGGGACTCAAATGAAGAGGTAGGCTGCATATGGTGCTCTACAGTTAAAAAGCATGCCAGATAGCAAAGGTTCACAGAATAGAGCCTTTGCCAGAAAAATAGGCTTTGTCAGTTACAGTGGTCATGATGTTTGAAGAGATCTTAGAAATCACACTAAGAATCCATTTGTCAGATAGAAGCAGATCACAGTGCTTCTTTTGATGCCCACATCTGCAGCCTACCCAGACAACTTAGTCACCCGATACTTGCTAAGAAATAACTTAAGAGCTTCCAAAACATTAAAATATGTTAAAAGGTGCATTTAACTGCCCTCTGAACAACCACCACAGCCACAGAGCCAGCCATGTTGCCACGTACCGTCCCTGCAGGTGTTCAAGAAACGTGTAGATGTGATACTCAAGAACATGGTTTAGTGGGCAATGTTGGTGGTAAGTGGATGGTTGGACTAGATGATCTTAGAGATCTTTTCCAGCTTTCGTGATTCTATGATTCTATGATGTGAGCAGCAAAAAGTTTGGTGGCTAGCACAGATAAGGATGTCAGCAGTAGCCTACCTCAGTGGCAGCTATGGACTCAAGGTGCTTGCATCAGACAGAGCCATGCTCTTTTAAACAAAAGCCATATTGAATGTCTACATTGCTTCAAAACCTCTTTGTACTGCAGCCAAACTTTTAATTTGATCAATTAGCATCACTGGCTTAGAACTCATGATTATTTATTTGGGTGATGTATCATACAAGATTACTCTTGACTTCATGACACAGGTACTATCTACGGTCATTATTCCCCTAACAAAACATGTTTGATAACACAAAAGAAAGCTTTTGTAAAATGATTACTCGGAGCTACTTTTAATATGTAATGTACCTATATAAAATAGCTACATTTGTTTTTCTCCCATAGCCAAAAGAACAGCACTTAACTTTCTTCTTCTCATAAATAATCTATACATTTGATTAAGCTTTGCTTTTCAGAAGTCTAAAGAGAGTTGACATGCCCTGTACAATATGCAAACTTGTCTCATGCTCAATCTTCTAGACAGCAATTCCTTACCTCTATCTGTGCTGTATGATTGGCGTAATAGCTCAAGGCTTCATCTCCTTCATCTGGATCTGACCCTGGCTTCAGCATCTGTTGCAATGTTTTATTGTGACGAGCCAACTAGAAAAAGAATATAAATCTGATTTATGTCCTGCTGCTATATTTTCAGCTTTATCATCTCCACTTAACTAACACAAATCCTTCTCCCCCCATTCCCATATACTTATATGATCAACCCAGTGGGGCTCTATCCACAGATAACAACAAAAAATGTAATCACTTGAGAACAATAGAAATAATTTAGATTTAAAAACTTAGCAGCAAGTCTTTGGCTGAGACTTATGGGTGGCAGCTTTGCCAGCAGCTTAGATGGATTTTGGAGGGTGCCTGACAAATAAAAAAAAACAAACACTAGATTGAATATTTCTTTTGACTGAAGTTTAGACATAAAATTTGCATACTTCAAAATAGGTAATAACACATACAATTAATTTTTTTCTGTTATGTCATGTAGCTAAGCTATTTTTCACCACGTTCTGGCATCGCATTTCAGGGCTGCCATGATAACACAGGTAACTATTTCAGAGGCAGCTGGACTTCACTAGCAGGCAGATATATTCTTATTGTACAATTCATATACTTAGCACACATACACACATAAATATGCAACTCCTCATAAAAACTTCTACAAAACTGATACATATATGATTCATAAAATATATCCAATCTTGCAAATATTTATAATACTAAAAAAATTGCACAAAATTTAATACTGACTGTATCAGCAAATGCATTCATGATGTCTCTTAGGTCAGTGAGAAACAAAGACTTGATCAGGAGGCATAAGGAAACGTTCTAAACATGCAGTATTCTTTACATAGGAGAGTGGATTTCACATAGAAGCTCTGAGGTACTTCACCAAGATTACAAATTTTCCCATTTTAAGGTGGAGGAAACTGAACACCACATGTGGCTAAGAATTATTAAGTGAAATAAAGCAGTATGTTGAGGAATTATTAAATAATTATAAATCTACAAAAAGAGTGTCAGAGATCAAGTCTAAAAGTAACAATGTAGCTAAATAGATATCATAATAATTTAACCAAAATACGATCATACTCGTTCCTAAGCCATTCGAAAGTCTCACCATGCTCTTTTTACCCAAGAATGGTGGGAGTGAGGTACATACACAATTTATTCTATTTAATAAACCTGGTCAAAATACATTTTCTTCTGTATTTTGATATAAACATATTAATTAAAGGTAAATATTGAATGAAATATATATTAAAAAAAAGAGAATACCTGAAAAGAATGTTCTGGAAGTATGAATGTATTTCACATTAATTATTCATGGACAGAAATCTGCTTGGATCTTCCAGTAAAGCACTGAGCCAAAGTGGCAGAATATCAGTCTTTTTAAAAAGGCTCATGAGCAGATACTTCAAAGACAAATGTAAAAATCATAGGGAGGACAACTGTAGAGCAACGTTCTTTCCATCACCAATAGATGTCTGTTTTGAATACCTACTTTTTGCTTTATCTAGTAAATACATAGATAGTCTCATTACCCACACTTTGTCTCACACATCTTCCACTTAATTTAAAGGCTAAAAGGAATCAGGCATATATCCTGAACTAGTCTTTGCAATATGTCCACAAAAACTGTTTAGAAGGATAACCTGAATTAATTTTCTACAGGTATCTTGCATTCTCCTCACCAGCATCATGAAGAAACAAGATGAGCTTGTGAAAACAAGGTAATTACTGCTTAAAATCTGCCTTTAAACAGTGCTACTACTTTTGCTTTTCAGCTTTATTGAATATCCCTCCGCTTCTGTACTGAAGAAAGGGCGAGCAAGAGCACCCATTCACACTCTCTGTATCATTCATTATTCTGTACACTAATGTCATGTTCTCTCTTACTTGTGCCTTCCTTAAATTAAAAAAATCCCCATCTTTTACATCCTTTCTCAAACAGAACACTCTCTGTTACTCAATTATTTTAATTGTCCATCTCCAAATGCCATTTACTTCGGCCATAATTCCTGAGATACAAAAAAAAAGAACAAACTAGACATAATGTAGTCACACCATGCTTGGAGTGAAGAATTAGCATAAATAAAAGCATATATATTCCTTTATTTTATTTTTCATATACTGCAACACAGAGGAATTTTGCTTGCATTTGATCCTTTTTTCTAATGTCAATCATTTAGATTATGAGCATTCTAATAAATGATAAATTAAGGATGTATCGATAATTCTTCTCATATTAAAAAGACTACCAGTTTGGAGAAAGGGACATATATAGATTCATAAATTCACAGTAGTACTACAAAACTCTTCATTTCTAAATATATTTGAATGCGTACAAAGAACTGGAAATACCACTTATAAGACATACGAAATCTTAAGATACCAATTCTTGATCTGCTTTTAACTGTCTATAACTCTTACAGACTTAAAAGACTTCTGGTGATCTGAGATGGAGTTGATGCAGTGCATACTTCACTATCAGGTTTTAAGTGAACAATAGCTACGTACTTTAAAACCACGGGACCATCCTGAATCGATGTGTTCACAGTCCAGCATCATACATAGCTGGGGCTTCCTGACACTAGCATTGGACAAAATGATCTGAAGAACAGGTCAGAAACTCCTACTCTAGAGTTGCTGACCAAGCTGGAAAAGATACAGCTGATTTTAGAAGTGAAATTTATCTAAATCTGTCAACAGTAGTGCTAGACCACAAGTCCTCGTAACATCATTTCTTTCTACTTCCCATCTCTTTGTATCCACTGACCTCCTGCAGTCTATCTAGACCTTCAGAGAGTAGTCTCAGGGCAAAGGGCAGTTCTCTATTTTCTTCCTGCACTGCAGTTCTAATGTGTGATGGATTCTTCCAAGTTGCCGCAATAATAAGTGCTAATAATATTTCTGTATTGCCAAATATACATCAATGAAAGAATGGTGTGAACAGCAATCTTTGAAAACTCAGATGTAAAGCAGAGGCTCACAGTAACACTTAAGAACTGCTTAATAAATGCTATGTTATTTGGCAACAACAGTGTTTTTTGAAGCGACGATTTCATATCTTTCCTTTGTTTTGTCATGAACTCAAAGGCAGACATGGGCAAATAGGACAGTGCCAGAAGACAACATGACCAGTACACAACTATTTCTGAGATCAAAGAAACAGCAGTGAAAATAGCAATGTAGTGACAAACTGTAACGTAAAACATGAACAGCTTATCCAAGCTGGTAGTACGCTCTAGGTGACAGTGTGTGACTGGCACATAAAAACTGAGCAAGCTCTGACTGACATTTTTTCACGTTTAACTCCTGTGATGTGGTTGTGTTGCTCCTGAAGTGCTGCACAAGTCTTATGGGGCAGCTGATAGACAAGACACTAGATGGGCACGGACTATAGTGACTGCAGGAAAAACCACAGCTCCATTCAGGTTTGCAAGGCAAAGCTCAAAAACGTGCAGTGAGCATAACTGATACAAAACATAACCTTTGCTAGAGCCTGAATCTGCAGAGAGCCTGAAAAAAATCACCTCCGAGGAGGGAACTCTCTCAGTCATTCACTCATCTATCAACCATGCCAGTGATGATATTTTAAATGTCAACACTGTACTTTACTACTCACAAAGGCATTTAGGGAAGAGGAAGCAATAACATATAATGGAGCAGTGATTTCCAAAGAGGGGAAGCGTAAGGCAATATCTATATCAATAAAGATCATTTGGCTTTCCAGTCAGTTCCCAGGGAAGGACTGTTCTTCATCTTGAAAGACCTTTGCTTCAAAAATTTGGAAAATACTGTAATAAACATCAGAACAAAATGCAAAAGATTTAGAACAGATCAAGAACACCGGTGTCATTAATAAAGAAAAACTAGAGAGGAATGACAGAATTACAAGTAATAGGCAGTCTGAACTCCTCATTCAAAACTATTATAAAATCACATCAGATGGTCGTTTGGGATTACACACATGATCAGCAGCATGGAAAAAGACAGCAGACATTTTTTGCCATCAACAATATATGCATTTCTTGCAAGCATTTTACTTGAAAGATTTCCTGAAACAAGGCTGCAGTTATTTTAATGTTCTCAATGAAAAAGTGATTTAAAGCTGTGAACTTTCATGTCATCAGACTCTCAATATTTCACTGACTTGGCTACTAGATTGGCGTGCCAAAATATGTAGGTATATATACAGGTGCCTGTAGAAAAATTTCTGGAAAAAGACAAAGTAACTTTCCATTTTTCATTATCTCTGTAAAATACAGACCCCCTTCTGTACTGTCATGTGGACAAGTCAGTCTCTGGTTCTAACTCAAATGTTGTAGCATAGTCTGCGCTGGAGGCTGACCTAGTATGCTGCTGAGGGAGTTGCCAAAATCCCTGCCAGTATCACCAGGCTTTTCTTGGGGTCCCCAAAAGGACGTGAGTCCTATAAATACGAGCTAGAAACAGCAAGCTGAAATCTGTGAGATCCATTTATATCAATTTCACTCTCTAGCACTTTGAGACTACCAAACGTGTGGGATAAAGATGATATTTATGACTAGAGCAGTACAAAGAGATCTAAATGGGTGAAGCTCAGTGCCTTGTAAACAGGTATTATTTTTGTGGAAGAATCAGTTTACTGGTAAAGTGTGAAATGTGTTACATTCGCTCTCTAGAAAAGGCCAAAGAAGTATTACTATAAGCTCTGGATAACTGCCTGAGAAATACAAACTAAGACACAAATAGTTTCTGTGCCATGAAGCACTTTATATTTAAAGCAGTTCTCTTCAGAAGTATTACAAAAATCTAAAAACTAGAGAAGAAAACTTCACCTCTGTATACATTACGCTTGCCACTATTTCTCTTGAATTTCTCCTCGCACCCGTGAAGACAGCAGCACAACTTAATCCTGGCATCCAGGCAGGCCTGGAAGGGCAAGGCAGCAGCTGGAGCAAGTGCTGACTTCTGGGGTTCACAGCAGCGAGGTAACTGGTTAGGCTTGCATGCTGCAGCACTGCACAATGCCCTCTCTTCCCTCACCCCACACTCCAACTTCAGCTTGCTAGCTGGGCCAGTCGGCCTTGCCTGGCATGCCAGTGCAC